TCCTGGGTCTGAGGGTGGAGGGAGGTGGAGGTCTGGACTCCTGGGTCTGAGGGAGGAGGTGGCTGGGGGCCTGGACTCCTGGGTCTGAGGGTGGAGTGAGGTGGAGGCCTGAACTCCTGGGTCTGAGGGTGGAGGGAGGTAGGGGCCTGGACTCCTGGGTCTGAGGGTGGAGGGAGGTGGAGGTCTGGACTCCTGAGTCTGAGAGAGGAGGTGGCTGGGGACCTGGACTCCTGGGTCTGAGGGTGGAGGGAGGTGGGGCCTGGACTCCTGGGTCTGATGGAGGAGGTGGCTGGGGGCCTGGACTCCTGGGTCTGAGGGAGGAGGAGCTGAGGGCCTGGACTCCTGGGTCTGAGGGTGGAGGGAGGTGGGGCCCTGGACCCTGGGTCTGAGGGAGGAGGTGGCTGGGGCCCTGGACTCCTGGGTCTGAGGGAGGAGGGGGCTGGGGGCCTGGATTCCTGGGTCTGAAAAAGGAGGGACTGGGGGTCCGGACTCCTGGGTCTGAGGGAGGAGGGAGGTGGGGGCCTGGACTCCTCGGTCTGAGGGAGGAGAGGGCTGGGGGCCTGGACTCCTGGGTCTGAGGGAGGAGGGGGCTGGGGGCCTGGATTCCTGGGTCTGAAAAAGGAGGGACTGGGGGGCCTGGACTCCTGGGTCTGAGGGTGCTGGACACCAGGGCTGAGGAAGGAGAGCGGATGCTGGGACTCCGGGGTCCTGGGCACTCACCACACCACAAGGGTCGCACTGACTGATGCTAAGGCCGCGACGGCCGCGAGCAAGCATTGGTTGCTCAGCGTCAGAGCCTCGGGCCTGGCCAGCAGCTCGCCCAGGCTTGGCCTCCAAGGTTCGATCATCTCCGCCTCCAGCGGCGCCCAACGCAGCACTTCCCGAAAGGAGACCTGGAGCTCGGTCTCCCCACGTGGGGGCGCACCAGTCACTGCGGGGACACGTACGTCAGCAGGCGCAAGCCCCGCCCCCGCGCAGCCCCGCCCCCCGCGCAGCCCCGCCCGCACCGTTAAGAAAGAAGTAGAGCCGCGCCAGCGGGAGCTGGTCGTGCAGGATCACGCAAGAGAACGTCCCGCGGTGCGCGGGCTGCACCGGCCGGATCCGCGCCAGGTTTCCTCGGGCCCGCGGGAGGTCTTCGAAGTAGGACACGTCCTGCGTCCGGACCTGCGGGACGCTCGGGCTGAAGCGGCGGGAGGAGAGGAGCCTCGCCCGAGCCCAGGTCAGATTCCCTCTGCTGGGTCTCGCCAAAGCGCAACGTCCAAGCCCCGCCCCCGAGCTAGACCACACCTTCTTGAGCCCTGGCCCCACCCCTAGCCCCTTATGCACTGACCCTTCACGCACGACCCCGCCCCTCTAAGCCACCTCCTGAGCCTTGCCTCCACTTCTAAATCCAGGGACCCTCCCCGTGCACGAAGCCTGAATCTAGACCGAGCTCCCCCGAGCCCCATCCGCTGCGTCCTGACCACCCATCCTCTAGAGAAGCATAACCCTCCTCCTAAGCCCTTCGCGCTGGCCCCGCTCCGACTCACACCTCCTCCTGCGAACTTCCAGGAATAGGTGATTTCCTCCTTAGGCAGTTGGAAGTTCACAGTGCAAGAGAACTTAGCCTGATGACCCCGAGTCACCGTCAAGTCCTGAACTGAAAACAGGTCCGCGTCACCGCCCGAGCCCGCCCCCGTCTGGCCCGGTCCCTTCCCTGCTCAGCTCTCGTTCCTCCGGTCCGTCCGGTTCCTTTCCCCTTCCAGGCCCCGCCCCTCACCTGGGCAGTCCAGCGGGAGGTCGCAGACCGTGGAGTAGCACCCGCGGCAATGGAAACGCCGGGCGACTTCCTGGAGTCCTGTGGGACGGAAACGCTGCACCTGGGCTCCATCTGCGTTCCCCAGTCCGGGTCCCTTTGGCCAATAAGGTCTGTGCAGCCTCCCGGGCTCTAACGGCCAGACAGGTCCTGGGCGCCGCCTTCCCTGCGCTCACTGGCTGGCTCGCAACACTCTCCGGCCTCTGGGACTCCTATTGGCTTGTTTTTGCTTTCGGGCCCGCCTTGTATGAGGTTTGTGAGCAGTACCTGCTTTTACTTTTCTCCAGGGCTCTTATTGGTCTCCCGTTCTAGTCCCAGGTTTCGCTCCCGACCACCTCCCTTCCCCCTCAGTTCTGAGCTTCGGATGTAGTGCTTACCGCAGGGAGGGATGCAGGCCCGGACTGTGGAGAGAGAGGAAGGGTTACTATCCTGGAAGTGCCCACCTGAAGCTCCCCTAGAGGATAGGTTACTGGGCCAGATGCTTTCCTCCGAGGGGGCGGAGCCAGGCCTGCTGCAGCCCACCTAGGGGGCGGAGCTAAGCCTGCGGCAGACCACCTGTAGGCGGGGCCAGGCCTGCAGTATTCCACTAAGGTCAGGCACAGGCCTGCCGACTAAGGAGGCGGGATCAACCCTGGGGTATCCCACTGAGGGGGCGGGGCTAGACCCTGGGCGATAGTTTCAGGGGACAGGGTCAAACGAGGGGGCCCAATTAGAGAAGAGGTGTGGCAGGCTAGAATTCGCCCACTGAGGGGGCCCAGTTGGAAAGGAAACATCACAGAGTGCACAGGGCCAGAGAGATCCAGAGAGAGGACCGGGCTAATCTGGGACAGAATCATCCCAAAATGGGGTCCTAGCTGGAAAGGAAACCTTCCATTGAAGCAGGGACCAGATTCTAGAGTGTTCCTCACAGGGGAAGAGGCTCAGAGGGGCTGGGCTAACGGGAGACGATGACTGGCTCAGGATTTTAGAACTCTGTGTGTGTATGTGTGTGTGTGTGTGTGAACCGACGCCCGCGCGCTGACTTCTTTTACCTTCTTTAAGCTGCATAATGACCTTCCGCATTTTCTCCGCAGCATCAGGAAAAGCCACCTTAAAGGAGCCTGGAGGGTGGAGGGGGGCCTTGTGGTAAAGACCCTTTCTCAAGGCCGGTCAACTTGCTATCACGGTGTTTGTGCCTTCCTCAGGCCCTCCCCATCCCCACATGTCTAGTATATAAAGCACCCCCGTCTCACCTCCTCCCGCCCTGTCTACCTGGAAGGCTGACAGATCCCCAAGTCTCCTTCCATCTGCATCTGGACTATCTTTCTGATGGAACCCCTCCTCTGCATCCTCTGCGTTGATCTTGTTGAGAGGAAAGGGGAGGATAAAGATCAAATTCCTCACCAAGGGCCCTACAAGGTCTGGCCTAGTTTCCTCTGCCTCTCTATTCCATCCCTGTTGCCCACCTTTCATGTATGAAAACGACCATATTCTCTAGCACCTCAGGGCCTTTGCATGTGCTGGTGTGTTTCCAGCACATCTTTCCTCCTACTCCTACTCATCCTTCATCTCCTACCTCATGTCCTCTCCTTCGAGGTGTTCTCTGACCACAAATCTAACCTAATCCAGTTCCCTATTTTTGCCTCTCGAAGTGTTCCATTCATTCTATTCAGAGTTCTCACCAGTTTACAATTATATATATTTATATATACAGTGATCATTTAAGTCTGTCTCTTCAGTTAGTAAACATGTCATTCTTCAGTGCTGTATCCCCAGAACCCAGGAGGGGGCCCTGAGTCTTAGCAAGTGCTCAGAAGTATGTGTAGAATGAATTCCAGGATCCAGCTGGAATGGAGACCACAACTGGTGGCCTCTGGCCCCAGTCCATCCCTTGAATGTGTTATATTTGGACTGGAAAGTATTTTTAAAATATGAACCAGTTGCTATCGTGTAAAATTTGGGAAAGTCACATAGAATGTTTGGCATCTCTTTTACAAAATTTGGAAGAGCTATAACACAAGAGACTGTATTTTCATGAGGCAGCAATTAGCTAGAGCTTCGTGGCAGCCACCCCCCTGGGCATGCACCTGCCACTTCTGCATGGTGCCCAGACTATTCATTTCTACCCCTTTGACTCTTTTTTATCTCTGTTCTTATGCTTTTGGAGTTTTGACCATTGTAATGGCCTCCAAACTGTAAGGTTTTGTGGTTTTTCCCAAAGTGGATGGCTGTCTGGATTGATTTACCGGTGGAGGTGGTTTTGGAAATTAGAAATGTAGCAGATGTGGGGCACCTGGGTGGCTCAGTTGGTTAAGTGTCTGACTCTTGATTTCTGCTCAGGTCATGATCTCAGGGTTGTGAGATCAAGCCCCGTGTTGGGCTCCATGCTCAACACAGATTCTGCTTGGGATTCTCTCTCTCCCTCTCCCTTGCCCCCCCCCCAATAAATAAATAAATAAATAAATAAATAAGAAATGTGGCAGGTGTTACGGACTGAATCGTGTCCCTCCCAAAGTCATAATGTTGGAAGCCCTAAACCCCAGTACCTCAGAATGTGACTGTACTTGGAGATACAGCCTTAAAGAGGTAATTAAGTTACAATTAGGACATTAGGATGGGCCCTGATCCAGTATGACTTATAAGAGAAGGAAATCTGGACACCAACACACTGAGGGAAGACCATGTGAAGACACAGGGGGAGAGAAGATGGTCATCTACAGGCCAAAGAGTGATGCCTCAGAAGGAACCAATCCTGCTCACTCTGACACCTTGATCTTGGACTTCTAGCCTCCAGAATTGTGAACAAATACATTTCTATTGTTTAAGCAACCCAGTATATGGCACTTTGTTATGGCAGCCCTAGCAAACTGGTAGACAGGGATTGCTAGTTGCTTCCAGATATCTCTGTAGTAACATCACACTGCATTTCAGCTGGGAAAGCACCCCCGGCCCCACCAACCACCCAGCTAAAAGACTGTATTCCTCAATATCCCTTGCAGCTAGGTGTGGTCATGTGACCCACTTGTGGTCATATAACCAAGTTTTGGTCTGATTTGTAAGTGGAAATGTCATGTGCGAATCATAGGAAGGAGCCTTAAGAGAGAAATGGCACCATCTTATTGACCCTTCCCCTTCCTCCATCTGCTGCCTTCGACTTGGATTTGATGGCTGGAGCTCTAGCAGGCATGCAGAACCATGAGGATAAGGGCTACATCCTAGGATAGTAAAGCAGGAAGCTGGAAAGGGTTTGGGTCCCCCAGAAAATGAAAAGGTGCTGCCATATGAAACTTAAGCACCTACCTCAAGACTTCTAGCTGGCTTAAGCCATTGCACGTGAAATGTGTAATTTCAAACCATACAGAAAGGGAAGGAACTGAGAATACTGGTGAGAGGGTGGCTGATGAGATGATCCTTGAGTATAAACTGGAGAGAGGGGGCACTGAAGCCAGGAAGTGGGTTCAAAATGAGGGGTCAAGGACTTAGAGGTCTCTCCTTGGCCACAGGGCGGGCGTGTGGTGTGGAGATGGCAGGATGGTCAGGAGGATGTGGTCAGAGTGGGGTGCTCAAATGAGAGGCCAAGATGTTGGAGGAGTCATCCAAGGAATATCTCTGTGCCAAACCAAGTGACTCACAGGGAGGCTGAGTGTGGGATATGCCAAGTGAGCCATGGCAGGGGTGTGTGTGTGTGTGTGTGTGTGTGTGTGTTATATCTAAGTACGTCATGGGAGTAAAGTAGGGATGGAGTGAAATGTCCAAAGAGGCCAAGGGGTGGAGGTTATCTCAAGTGAACCAGAAGGGGGCATGGTAGATGTTGTAAAGTCTCCCCCAGAGAGGTGGGTATCATTAGGAACTTCAACTTTCAGACCATCTGGGTTTGAGTCCTGGCTTGTCCATCTGTGAGCACACCTGCCTCCCATCTGAGAAACCCATTTCAAATCCTCTTCCCTAGATGACCTTGGCCAAATATGTAACTTTCCTGATCCTCAGTTGGTAAAATGGGGACAGTATCAGTGTCTATTAGGGTTGGGGGGGGATTTAATGCCATACAATATAAAAGCATCCCCGTGCCAAACTATGTGCCATTGGATGGCTGCATTTGAGAATATCCGTAAGCGCTTAGGATGGTGTCTGGGACACAGTGAGTATGTTACCATCTCCAAGTTTGAGATGGGGAAATGGAGGCACGGAGAAGTTAGGAAGGTGACCAAAGGTCACATAGCTAGATTTGACCCCTGGTGATCGAGCTGCATGACCTGTGACACACTGCCCTTCACACCACACCACCCACTCCCTGGTGTATGGACACAAACAGTATCACCTGCCACCACCAAGAGCCTCTCTGAGTCAGCACGTCCATCTCTTGGGTCCTCCATCTGGGAGACCTGGGAGTTGCCCTTCCCCTCCCCCACGCTTCCCCTACACAAGGCCAGTCTTGATATCTCCTGGGTCCATCCTTTCTGTCCAGCTGGGCCCCAACTTCCCCCATCTGGAAAATGGGCTTACCAAACCCCACGTGACAGGGCTGGTATGAAGATACCCTTTAGGACGATAGTTAGCATCAGTAAGTGCAGACACGGCCTCTCCCATGTATGAGGCAGGTTTGGCACAGAGTCAGATCCGTCATCTTCCTCCCCCTCCCCCCTCACACTCGCCCCTCTCAGCTCAGCCCTCATCTTGGGGTTGCGACTGGTCCGAACCACCGCTAACCTCCTCACCGGTCTCCCTGCTTCTGCTCTTGGCCCTCGTGGCCGTGGTCTGATCCTGTCTCTTTCTCTCTCCCTAAAAGCCTCTGATGGCTACCCCCTCAAGAGCGAAAATGGAAGTCAGTTCAAGGGTACACAAGGTCGGTTCCCCAAGTGTGTTCCTGGAGCAGCTGCGGCAGTGGGCAACTTGTTAGAAAGGCCCACTTCCTGGCCCTACCTCAGACCTAAGGGGCAGAAATGGAGGGTGGCACCCAGGAATCTGCATTTTCACAAGCTCCCAGGAGATTCTGGCACACACTGGGGCTTGAGAACCACTGGCCTATGAGGTCCTACAGGATGTGGTTCTTTGCAGCCTCTGATTTCATCTCCTGCATCCTCCCCCTCCCCCCTTGATTCCACTCCAGCCCTTCACACTGGCTCTTCCATCTGCCTGGAACGCTCTTTCCCCTGATTATCTGTATGGCTCTGTCACCTGGTTCAGGTCTTTCCTCAATTGGACCTTCTCACGTGCAACTCCCCTGACCAACCTATTTAAAATAACCACCCCACTGGGTACCCTGTTCCCTTTCCCTCCTATTTTCCTCCTACATCCTGGATTACCAACTGACACACTGTAGTATTTCATGGATTATGTTTATTGTCTGCCCCCCCCCTGCAGTATAAGCAACCTGAGGGCTAGTGGTCTGCAGATCTGGTCACAGCTATGTCCCCAGTGTTGTTTCTGGCACATTCGATGAATACCTGTTGGTCATATTGCACCAGCTTCTCCCGGCCTCCAGTCTGTCCCCTTCACAACCCCAGAGGGTCTTTCCATGCCCAGAACTGAGCCTGCCCTTCCCCTGCTCACAGCCCTGCTCCTTCAGGACAGTCTCAAGTCTCCTTGACCTTTCAGTTAAACCCTGGACCTGTGGTCTAGCTGCTTCCTGGATGTCCCCCGAGTCCCTCACCGTCGCTATGTCCTAGCCCAGCTCACCATCTACTCCCACCCTGCTCTTTCTCCCAGGCTTCCCGTCTCAGGGAAGACCCAGTGCCCACCCTCGCATGGAGCTGGACCCTGGGTGCTATCCATTCCCCCCCCCAACCCCAGTCCCCAGACAGACCTTCAGACCCAAGCCCTGTCCCTCCTGCCCTTGACTCTCTTCTTCATCCGTGCTGCTTTTCCACCTTCACAGCCCCGCCCCAGCTCAGGCCTCCCTCACCCCAGCCTCCACCCAGGCCGCCCAGCCTCCACTGCCTCCCCACTCCATTGCGTCCCACACAAGGCTCTAGGGAGGTCTTCTACACACAGAACTGGACTTGTTCCTGTTCTCCTCAAAACCTTCTATGACAAGATGGCCTAAGTGGGGAGAAAGGGTGTTTTCTGGAATCCTGAGCACCTCCCCTCACCCCAGCTTTGAGTTGCTCAGGCCTCTCTTTGGGGTTGGGGATCTGTAGCTGAAGTCTTCTTCATGCTGACCCCCCAGACACCCCCTGGGTGGACAGGAACCTCCCCATCTTTCAGGATCATCGTCAGAAAGCTTGGTGGGCAAGAGCAGAAAACAAAGGGTGTAACAGCAGATGTAGAAATAAGCCCTGAGCCCTGGACCAACAACTGGCCAGTTTATGCTGCAAGCGGTGCTCCGCCTTCCTCCTCCCTCTCCCTCCAAGGTCCATCTGGTCAGGAGGCTCCTCCCTCTCAGGGAGGCAAGGACATTGTCCCACCTTACAGGTGGGTAAGTTGAGACCCAGAGGGAGGCAGTAACACATCCAAAACCTCATAGCCAGGGGGAGCCACACAGCCAGTTCAGAACTCATGTCTACCTGATCCCAACTAGGTTTCAGACTCTGGGTCATTTCTGCACTCTTCTTTGAGCTCCCCACCAGCATCTGACCGTCCCTTCCCCCCAACAAGTAATCAAGCTCACTCAGCTTCCTAGCACTGCCTCCTCCAGATCTGCCACATTCTGGGGGCCCCCCTGCACACACATCCATCTCTTGGGGGCTTACACCCCATGTCCACCAAACCGTCCCCACCCCACTCACCCTGGGCAGTGGCCATCTCCTGGAGAGAGTGGGTCATCTGGGTGAAGGCATCATGCAGGTGGCTTCTCTCATCGTAGTCTGGGAGTAAGGGTGGAGGACAGAGGCTGGGAAAAGCAGTTCCCTCAACACCATGTCCACTCCGTGGACATTCTCTGTCTCTCTAAGACACCTCCTGTCTCCAAGTCTCTGTCCCTGCCCCACTGCTATCCCCCATCTCTGAGTCTGTCCCTCCCCCCCAGTGTCTATCCTGCCTTCTCTGAGTCTGTCCCCCATCTCTATCCACCTCCCGGAGTCTGTCCCCCATCTCTATCCTCCTCCCTGAGTCTGTCCCCCCACATTTCTATCCTCGCCCCCTCTGAATCTATCTCCCCATCTCTATCCTCTCTTTAGTCTGTCCCCCGGTCTCTATCCTCCCCCTCTGAGTCTGTCCCGCACTCTATCCTCCTCTCACTGAGTATGTCCCTCAGTCTCCATCCTCCCCTCTAAGTCTGCCCCCACCCTCCCTCTCTGGGTGAATCTCTCAGTGGTTCGCCACGCTCTCTGGAACCTCCCTGTGCAGACACCCTCCCCCCTACCCCAGGACCCTGGAAGAAGTGGCAGGTCTCCTCACTGATTTCAGTGTCTAGGAGGCCCTTAAAGGCGGCGGTGAATGCCTCCTCACACTTTTCCAGCTCAGGGCCCTCTATACCAGCAAAGATCTGGCAGATGCGGACACGCTCCTTATAGGATGTGAAGCAGAGGAGACAGGCCCAGGCGGGGGCCCTGAAGACCATGAGGGCTACCAGGGCAGATGGGACAGCACTGCCTGGGGCCAGCAGGGCCATAACAGAGGGTCTTGGCCCAGGGAGAAGCTGGTGACCTTTGTGAGGTCACCATGGGGTGGGGGAGGGGCATGTGGTATGGGGGCAGAGGTTGGATTTCTGTGGCTGGTCAAATGTCAAGCTCTGGGTTTTCGGGGAGAATGGGTGTGAGGAGTCAGGGGTCAGGCGGGCAATCCCCAAGCTTGTGGTTAGGCCGGACGCCAGGCTCCCAAGAACCTCACCTGTGACCCTGGATGTCCTCACAGGTTAAAGGGTCTCAGGGACCCAGAGGCCGGCAGTGTTGTGTGTGGTGGCCTGACAGGCCCTGGCGTGGGGGCGGGGGGGTCAGAGTGGAGATGGCACAGAGATACTGTGAGAGCCCGAGATACAGAAACTGAGACACGGAGAGATATCAGAAAGCACAATAAGAGAGAGATGGAGAGAGAGTCTGAGAGGCCGCTGTGTAGACACACAGCCGACTCCAGAGACACAGTGGAGATGGAGAGACAGAGAAAGCAAAATAGAGGTTTCTTCATGGGACAGAAACTCTTTGAGGGAAGTGGGAGGAGGGAATGCAAGGACAGGACAGGAGAGACAGCCCAGCTCCTCCTCCCAGGGTCCCCCCGCATGGGGCAGCGGTCAGGGGCTGGGGTCCCCGCCGGGCGTCCCGTGCAGGGCGCAGCCTGGGGAAAGCTAGGAGGCCGTATAGTGATCTCCGTGGGTGTCCTCCTCAACTATACAACCTCCTACCTCAGCCCGGGGGGCGCGGCAGGTGGACAGACAGACGGATGGACGGACAGATGGGGGCCAGGAGGGCCAGGGAGGGTGGGGAGGGCCGGGAAGACCCCAGCCGCGATGGTGAGCCCCCGACACGGACCCACAGACTCGAGCTTGTGTGCGGCGAAGGCCCCGCAAGGTCGGTTCTACGGGTGGGTGCCAGGACCCAGGAATCCGGGCCCCCGGCCCCCTCCTCCCCAAGGAACCCAGGAATCAGTCCCAGGGACCCAGGAGTTCAGGCCCCTAGCCCCTTCCTCCTCAGAGGTCCCTGGAGTCCAGGCCAGTAGGCCCCTCCTCTCTCAGACACACAAGTCCAGACCCCAGCCCCCTCTTCCCTCAGACCCGGGAGGCCAGCCAGGCCTGCCTCCCTGGGGAAGGTGCAGCCGGGCTTCCTGGCTTCCTGGATGCGGAGTCAGAGGGAACCTCACCTGTTTCGGAGTTTGGCCCCTTGGGCAAGCAGCTCCCTACCTACCTGTCAGATTCTGGAATCCAGGACTAGGGCGGAGGCAGGGATATGAAACCTTCAAACCTCTCTGGATATTTTCCCCCTCTCTCATTTCTTCTTTGGGCCTCCCATCATTTATAATGATGACAGCTATGAACCCTGAGCACTGACGCTGCCCCAGGCCTAGCAAGGTGCTGTCAGCTTCCCCACTGGGCAGGGGAGAAGGCTGCCCAGAGATCGGGAGAGGCTGGGCCAGAGCCGGGCAAGCGGGAGGAGCCGGGCCTGGTAGGCGGTGGCCCAGCACCCAGCCTCCCCACCCCGGGGCTAAGAGTGCGCACCTGCGAGTGGCAGGTCGACCTCTCTGTCCAGTTCTGTCTGTCTTGCTCTCCCCGTCCCACGCTCCATCTCCATCTTTCTGTCTCTCTCCTCCTGCTGTTTCTGCGGCGCCTGGCCTCCGCGTCAGCCCCCGGCTTACCTGGTCTCCAGCTCCTCCTGCGTCTGTTTCTCGGGCTCTGCATTGCTCATTCTCCGCTCCTGTCCTTCTCGCCCCTCCGTGGTCCCGGCGCTCTCCCTCGCAGATGGCCTCGCCCTCTCTCTCCTTTCTCATTCTTTTTCTTTCCCTTCGGTCTTTCTTCCTCCTCCTCCCTCCCTCTCTCTTTGTCTCTCATTCTCTCAGTCTCTTCCTACCTCAAGGTCTCTGTCTCTGGCCCTCTCCCTTCCCCTCTCCGTTTCTCTCCCTCTCCCATCTCTGTCTCCCTCTGTCTCTTTCCTCCCTTCCCTCCCCCCCACCCTTCTTTCTCCCTCCCTTCTCCTTCGCCCCCTCTCTGCCTCTCTCTCTCTCTCTCTCTCTGTCTTTCTCCTTCCCTCTCTCCCTCCCCCTCGCAGCTCGGAGCCAGGTCTGGAGCTGGGGGTGGGGTGGGGGTGGTTCGAGAAGGGGCCCAGGGCTGGGGTAGCGACCTGCTGAGGAGGGGGAAGAGAGGCGGGAAGGGGGCGGAGGAGGAAAGGAGATGGGGGGCCAGAGTCGGGTCCGGTTCTCATCCCCCTTCCCTCCTTCCCAACCTCCCAGACCCTCAGGCGGGGGCGAGAGTCAGGCCAAGGTGGGGAGGAAGGGGAAGGGAGGAGGCTGCCCCCGCCCCCCCACAACCTGGCCCAGAGCCCAGGCCGGGTTCCCAGCATGCCCCGGGGCTGCCTGGGGCCTGAGGAGGGGGTGAGAGGGGAGCTGAGAATCTTAAAGATTTGCAGGACCCGAGCATCCCCCCACTCCCTCGACAAATTTCTCCTTGGGGAAACTGAGACCCAGAGAGAAGGGTCAGGACTTGTTCAAGGTCACTGGACGCGGCGTTGATGGAGACATGAACTCTCTGGGCCCATAGGCCCGATTTGGGGAAGGGGTTGGCGCTGGACTTCCCTCAGGTCTGGGTCCCCCTCCCCCTCTCTGCAGACCCTGGGGAGCCCCCAAGGGTCAGAGAGCAGACCCAAACAGTCTGGCACCATGGCAACCAGCTGGTCCCGCCCCCTTAACCCCCGGAGGGCTGAGATCCAGCTGGGGCTTAAAGAGGAGGTGGGGACGCCTGGGTTCGGGGGAGGAAGGGGAGAGGGGCCCGGACTCGGACGTTTTGTGAAGGGTGGGGGCTGGGGTGTGGACTCCCAGGTCTGCGGGAAGAAGAGGCCGGAGGCCCAGACTCTCTTGGGTCCTGGGGTAAAGGAGGCTAAGGGTTCGGATTCTGGAATTCTGAGGGAGGGGGCTGGGTTGCGGACTCCCAGGTCTGAGGGAGGAGGGGGCTGGGGCCTGGAATCCCAGTTCCCCAAGGGAGCCTGGATGCTGGGCCTCTCCTCCGCCAGACATCCCCTGCCCCCGCCGCTGACCCTGGCCTGTCTGGCAGCCCAGACAACCTCCCCCCCTCCTCCGCCCCCACCTCGAACGGCTCACCCTTGACCCCTCAAAGCCCCGCAGCCCCTTCCCTGCCCCTCCCCCTCCCCTCTAGCCAGACGTTAACCCTTCTGCTGCCGGAGGCACCTCCAAAGCCAACCTCTCTCCCTCCACCTCCCCTAAGGGCTCGGGCGGGCATCTTGCCCCAGCGTTCTTCAGCCTCCGCATCTAGCTATCCCGGCCCCATCTCTGTCTTCCTCTGGAATCCAGGAGGTGTTCTCCGCCCTCTCCTCCTCTGGACCCCCGGAATCCGGGCCCTCAGGCCCCCAGCCCCCTCCTCCGAGGATTCGGGAGTCTGGGTCCCCAGCCCCCTCCTCCTCCACGAACCCAGAAACCCAGGCCGCGGCGGCCTCCTCCTGGAACCCTGGGTCGGGGCCCCAGCCGTCTCCCCCCCGCCCCGCTGCCCACCAAGCCGGCTTTCCGCAGACTCACGGCTCCGGGGCTCCCGCGTCGGAGGGCAGGGGCTCCCCGGCCAGCCCCCAGGCCGCGCCGAGCCCGGCCAGCCGCCGCCCGCTCTCCATCCTCTCCCCGCCTCCGCCGCCCGACGGCCTCTCCCCTTCCTCCCGGCGGCCTCGCCATCCTCCTTCCCTCCTCCCG